GATGAGAGCACCAGGGATTTCACTTCTTGAGAGCTCTTCAGAAGCTGGGAGAACAGCACGGGCCTGGCTAGCTGGGACAATTCTTGGAGTACTGCCACTGTTTTCCTTGGAAAAAACCCAGAAACCTGGCATGAACGCCTATGACTGGTGGTGGGAACTGGGAAGCCTGATTCGTACTGGGCGCTCAGGACAACTCCGGCAAGATCGATCCCTCCGAATTCGTCAGAGGACGTCCGTCAAGAGTGTTGCACCGGAGAATCTGGCCAGTTGCGCACCAGTGAGCCCTGCCCAGGATTCGAGCAGGATCAGGATTTTGCCGATTGCTTGAAAGGCATGGGTGGCTGCGGCTGCACTCAGAATGTCACAGACTTTCCGACTTCCACGCTCCAAAAATGTGAGACAAGCTAGCAGCAGCTACAGCTAGACTGGCACACACAGCGGCAGAGGTTCTTTTTGGGGAAACTTCTTGTTCTTCAGCCCTTGCAGATTTCATTTTTCGCCAAAGGCATTGGTGGACGTGACCTGGAATGGGTTTTATCAGTCCTGGACAAAGATGACAGCGGTGACATCAGCCCCTGGACGTGAAGAGCCGAATAGGTGAATAGGTCGTCGTGCTTTGCAAATATGTTGCTGCCTGTCATGCTTTTGGGATCGGTTTCAGAACCGGATACGGAATAGGTCGATTTGTTGGGCATAGCGTCTGCGGCACCGGGATCCTTAGGCCCAGATGAGTTCGTGGACCAGCTCTACAAGTTGCGCACTCACGAGCCCTTTGGTCCCAAATTGCCAAAAGGAAGTGCAACGGCGATCCAATAACCGTACTTGCTAAGCGGCTAAAGCTAAAAAGGCATTTGCAGAGCTTCTTTGCGTTTATAGGCTTAGGCTTCTGACTGACCCAAGCGGCCGAACAGCTGCAGAGAGGAACGGAGTCTGGCACAATTACTACACTATATCTTGCTTTTTGTACAACACTCCGAGGACACACCAAATCTTGTCGACCCTCACGGATGTTCGAAAGCTTCTGCGAGAACTTGCCGTGACTCAAGCAGGCGGGAACTAAGTTCTGCGATGTTGTAGTGTATATGGTGGCGAACCTTTCCTGGCAATGGGTGGAACAGGTGTGAATCACTGGCATGAGACAGCACACAGGTAGAGAGGCATGCTTAGCAATGTCGGCAACCCCGCACTAAGGTGTGATCATGCACAACACTGAGATGAGCAACTGGAAGGCGAATTCAGTGGGGCGCTCAGTGCGATTTGCTGCCATGCAGGCCATCCCATGTGGATGAGAAGCATGAACATGGCATCCTCCATGTAGTGCTCTTTAGGCGAATGATGATGAGGCGAAGCTCGGGGCTTTTTCCTCCAGGGCCGCTTGGACGCGGACAACGTCCTTCGGTCAAACTTGTCATCTGGCATGTGCTAAGGACACTGCCTCTGAAGTGAGCTGTGTGGACTGCATCACCTAACGAAGGCGGGCACATGCTCAAACAAGGCCATGACGTGCTGTGACATACAGACTTGAGACGGTAGGCCCCGCAAATTTCGTCGAGCTTATAGGTGAGGGGGTCGAAGCTTACTCGTGTCTTGCTGGGAGGTGGCATCCACCATGCCAGGCAGCTGTCGCTGTGGTTTCACTCATACGTCGACCGTTCCACTCCTTGTAGCCTGCTGCTGCCTCTCTGATAATGACAATTTCGGACTGGCAGTTTCAGCTGCCCTCGTGCTCAGTAGCAAAAAATTAGGCTTTGTGTTTTGTAGGCTGGTTCTAGACATGCTTGACGAAGCTTGACTAAGAGCACGAGCTCGGCTAACTCGAGGGTGCAGCGAAATTGCAACCTAAAAATGCAGGTTCGTTAAGTTAGCATTTTCCAAAATGCAAGTCCCTGTCTGTCCCAGTGCCGGCGCCCTCTGATTGAGCTTCAGTGTATCTGGTCTTTGTATGTCTCGTAGACGATACTTGCTGAACTGCTCTTCTGGTTCCGGCTGGGGAACAGCCCGATACTTCGCATAAGTATGTGCTAGAGGTGCAATCGTGTTAGATTGCGCCTTGAGTTTTAAGCGAAAAGCATTATCAAGTCGTAGCGTGTCTTCCTTGCTTGGACGGCATGCTTTCAGGTCTTTAGACACGAGTCCTCGGGTGGAATGGAGAGAATGCCAGAATTCGTCTACAATAACCAGGCTTTTTTTCTCGCGTTTCTGCCCCAGAGGTGTTTGTGCGGCTTCCAACCGGAGCAAACCTTCGTACGAGGGGCAGCACTAACCCGATGGTTGTCTTCTGACGCTTAGTGGTCAGTATCGAGCCTTGCATTGGTCGATTGCCTCTGCACTCCAGGAAATCTGAGCCGATTAAGGGAACACGGCAACCCAAGGCTACGCGTATTCAACTCTAGTCTATGAGACCGTGTCGGTCGAGAGGCCGAGCAAGCGGAGAGTATGAGGCAAGACACACACGACCGCACGCCAGCGCAAGGCAGCGCACGGCTGCGCATGGCAGCCCCGGTAGAGGCCGAGGCACTAGAGGTACTGGGTTAGTAGCACATGTGATTGCCAGAATTCAAGACAGCAACGTAGCTTCGTGATAATCAGCGCTTGAAACAAGCCAGACGAAGAGATGCGACCACTGCTGGGCTAGAGGCAATTTCCAGCCTTATGATGAACGGTTTGGAATTTTTGAGCGTCAGAGCACTTGGCAATAGTCCGTTGGTGAGCTGGCAGTCTCACTTGAGCTCCATTCCGATCGGCCAGCCGGCAAGTGATGTGGGGGAGGAGCTCCATGCCGGAGATTGACGACTCGACATTTTGAAAGAAACTCCGATTATCGGTGTTTCAGAAAGCGACGTACCACACGCCGAAGGCCACGTGTTCGCGCATAGCTACTGAAGCAGTAGTCTTCTCCTTTGAGGTCTACTTGCTACTCGCCCTCTTAGATCCTCTTGGGCTCTTAGGGTTGCTCAGTTGCCCTCTTGCGCGCGCTTTGGCATCGAAGCAACACGGCCGCGTTGCCCCGACAAAATGCCTTGCAGAGTTCGCCCTGTGCATGAGCTTCAATTGTCCATACAAGAGCCCAGGACCCAATGGGTGTTTCTGGCCCAAGTGGCTGAGAGCTTGCTTTCGCTGTGCGAGCCTTGGAGAGCCTGCGCTCGACTTGTCCACACAACTTGAACGGTCGTCCTAAAGCGTCGGGAGTCGGACAATCCAAGCATGAAAAGCAGAGGACAGATCCAAGGGACGCGTTCTCACACACTCGTCTTGTTTTGCCGTGTACGCAGGGTGATCTTGGCTATTGGCAACTAAGAACCGCACCTGCAAACTGAATTGGGCGTCATCGCTGGTACCCCGGGCGCTCAGGCAACAACAACTCTGCCTGCCTCCGTAAACTCCGCACGGCGTTGAGCCCCTTTCAGATTTTTGAGCTGTGCTCAAGCCAGCAGTAACCAAACAACAGCCAGTCCTCCTAAGTCAATCTCAGGCGTGTCTTAACAATAGAGCTTTTGCAGTGAATAGGATTCACCATGCTCAGTACTCGTAGACTAAAGCAGACACTTGCCTTGACCGAGCTTGCTAGTCAGATTGCTGCAACAGTCCAGGTCAGAAAGCTATGAATGTTGGTGCCGCCATGAGGGGTTTCGTTGCAAACGGTTGGTCGTGGATGACGTGCGCCCCTACCTCCTTGCTCTCAAAATCAGAACTTGATCAAAGAGATATGCAAACATGAAGTTTTACGCATGTTCAGCGAAACGAATAGGCGTGGTTAATCTCCGCCCATGCCCTAAGACATTTCGGTCTCTGTCTGTCTCTTTCTCGCCCTCGCGCTCGCGCTCGCGCTCGCGCTCGCACTCGCACTCGCACTCGCACTCGCACTCGCACTCGCACTCGCCCTCGCCCTCGCCCTCGCACTCGCACTCGCGCTCTCGCTCGCGCTCATACAGACCCGCGCACACAATCGCACACACCTTTGCGCCCGTGGTGCAGCAAGTCACGCATCAAATTGCCCCTCTGAATCCAAGGGTCTGCGCAGCCGGAATCTCAGATGCGGCTTGCAGAGCGCTTGCAAATTTATCTTCCCTGAAGGGCTGTGCATGGCTCTGCAGTGACACAGACGAACGAGAGCCTCTATGCTCATCAGGAATGAACAATGCCTTTATTGATTTATTGAAAAGATGTGTATTTATGTGAATATATGTATATATATATATATATATATATGAATGTATATATGTATATATGCATATGGGTAGTTCTCTAAATTAGGGTCCCTTTTTGGGTCCTTATTATAATACGGCACCTATTATTTAGGGTACCCCAAAAGGGACCATAATTTTGACAACTACCCATATATAATACCCCCTATATCTATATGTATGTATATACACCTATCGACTTATCTATCTATCTATCTATCTATCTACCTATCTATCTATCTATCTATCTATCTACCTATCTAACTATCCTACCTCTCTATCCATCTATCCATCCATCCATCCATCCTTCGATCCATCCTTCGATCCATCTATCTATCTATCTATCTGTCTATCTATCTATCTATCTATCTATCTATCTATCTAGCTATCTAGCTATGTATCTATCTACCTATCCATCTATCTATCTACCTGTCTGTCTGTCTGTCTATCTATCTATCTATCTATCTATACATACATGCATGCATGCATACATACATACATACATACATATATATATATATATATATATATATATCAGTCTCTCCGTCTCTGTGTGCGTGCATTTGTGTTTATATCTCTGTGTGCGTGCATTTGTGTTTATATGTCCGTGTGCGCTGCAATTCAGCTCAAGCCGCAGAGAGTATGCGCCGGTTGTGCAGCCCCAGCCACTAAGCTGAGCGAAGACGTGTTGCGGGCGGGGGGTACCGACTGAGTTTTCGGTGTTTCCTTGTGTGTCCGGGTTCCGGTCCACGAGCGGGAGTTTTGCTTGCGGGCGGAGAAGGAGACGGTTTCTGTGGGATTTTTCCGATTGAGGACATGGGAGCATCATGTGCCGGCGAGGCACGAGAGGCGCCTTCTCTTCTCCTTGACACGAGTGTTGAGTGCACGGTCGGCTCTTCTCGCCAGGAGCAGGAAATTGGCGACATTATGAGCTTTAGTCCAGCGCTTTGGAGAGCCAAAGTGCGACTTGACACGCACATCCCCACACTCACAGTAAGTTGAACCTGACCCTGTGTAATTAGTCTTAATGGCCTTATTTTCATCTGTCCACTCTGCTCGCAGTCACGAGGCGATCCAAGACGGTGAGTCATGCAGCTGTGTGCAAGAACTGTTTGCAGCCAAGGGTGCCAAACTCGGGAGATCTTGAACCACCGACGACACCTGGCTCCAGTTTGGTAGCCTCTTTAGCCGGATTGGAACCAGAAGTGGGGTCGCTGGAAGGTTCCCTTCGCTGCTTGACAATACCCTCCTCTTCCTGCCGCACTCCAGCGTCCAAGAGCTGGGCCTAGAGGCGCTCCAGCAGAGCTGCACTCGTCGGCTTCCGCGCCTCTTTGGCGCAGTTGCAGTGGAGGCGAACATGGACGACAAAGGGGACCCCAGCAAGCAGTGCCGGCCTTAGGCCTGGGAGTCGAAGTCCCGAAGGCCAAATCCGTCAAAAGCCGTCAAAGACTCGTCTTTTTGGCGGCCTCAGCGGAGTGCGCAGAGCATGCCGCTCAGGATGTGGTTTGGGAGAGTTTGGCACGTGCGGCAGCTGCTTCACAGGCCAGCAGTGCCGGCATCCTGATGTCTGTCCTGTAGGACCATGCCCCCAGTCTTCCGTGGCACGTGATGCTGGAGCCAGGCGCTATCAGGAGTTGCGGCAAAACCAGCTGGTTCCGCATGCTCGAAGAGAAGCTGCCTGGCCGGGACTGCACTGGTGGTGCAGAAAACTACGTTCGTTTGCATGGCAAGCAGTGCGAGACACATGTCTGGGTTCACCACTACCTAAAGTTTGAATGTGCTCGTGCGGAAGGTTTTACAAGAACGCTTCCACAACAACGAGCAGTCTCTCAAAATGCTCGTGAAGGTCTCAACCAGACTTTTTGGAATTGTGGCATGGGTGGTAGATCTTGCGAGGGAATGCTATGCAACACTTTCCTTTGACTTTGATTCACTGCAGTAGGGCATGCATTATGCATGGCAACAGAACATCAAACCGGAAACGTGTAAAGAAGCAAGAGAGCCATGCGCCGCCCCGCCAGCACGCACTCCAGGTCGGTTTTTCCCGGCCCGTAGACCCAAGCCATACAGGGCAGCGCCAGCGAATCACATGACCATCACGTATCAGTCGTGTGTGGGACTGAGCGCGGTGCCAGAAATGCTAGCTGGGCCAGTTCGCCCACAGTTTTTCCTGTTGCAACCAACTTCGCAGGTGCTATATGTAAGCATGCCCTTTGTTTCGGCACTGCAGCATCATTCAAGGTAAACAAGCTAGTGTAATTGACATTTGACGACATATTTCTTGTATCTTCTTGTGTTAGGGCACGAAGGCCAGGTTGTGGATTGGATGCTGACCGTTCAAGGTACAAATGCGCTGGAAACTGGCATTGATCCGGAAGAGGAACAATTTCTCTTTCCTCTCGCGGCTCAAGTTTGCCAACCTGCGAGGCTTGCAGTTGTTCTTGACTTGCTTGTGGAGATCATGGCCTTTTAACTACACTGCACTGCAGCGGTGCGTGAATGTTGCAGGCACCCTCATCTATGCCCATGGATCTGGAGGATGCAGCCTTTGGCTTGCATTGTCTTGCATTCATTTCGGGCCATCTGCCCCAACTTCGCAGTGACTTCAACGGAATCAGGCTCAGTCCGGTCAAAGGCTTGATTGGGGTGCCGGTAGTGAGACGCAAGCTGCATGACTCAGCTGATGACATGAGCAACGTTGCTGCCTTTAGGCTGGGACAATATGCGTATATGCCGCATGATCTGCCGCATGGGTTTCTTGGCACCTCGGCTCACGTAACGCTTTAGGTGGCCTCCTGGCCACCTTGGCCTTCCAAGAAAGCTTGGCTGCTCGAGGTCATAGCGCCAGATGATTTTGCATACCCGCGGGGTACCGCCATGGGTGCACTCAGGCAGGCAATCTGAACTGCCGAAGGTCTGCACGTGTTGCGCCAGCCCTCTGCGGCGCTGTAGCCGAGCGTTTGGCATGATGGCATATAGGGTGATCGGAAAGTAGTCCGGATGACATGTCGCGGACCAGAGTTTCTCTGCAGGCACAAGGACCTGCAGCCCCTACACTTGGCTTCAGATGATGTGGACTACTGGGCTCCGGACCTCATCTACGCCTCGCAGGCCAGCTAATCCTTGCGCGGGCTTGGCCTCGATATCGCGAAGCCGCGACCCCATCCCCGAGCCCAGGGTTGTGGGATTTTAGCAGGAACCGGGTGAGAAGCCTTTGGTAGAGGTAGTTTGCATCCGTCACGGCCCTTCAGTTCTCAGGCAGCACCGGCATAGTGCAGGGACAACCGTAGCTTATGTGCTTCTAGCATAGTTGCTTCTCGACAACGCAAGCAGACCTGGCAACGAGCAGCACGAAAGCAGCACGTACTGGTCTAGAGACTCCAGGGCCTCATGCACAGAATACGGCGAATACGCCTTACTCACATCATCTAGTGGCAGACTGGAATGCTCGATTGATGCCAAGAAGCAGATCCATGTGCCATGCAGCGCAGCGTCTATGACGTCAGATACGGGCCAGGGCCAGCCATCCAACTCTGTGGGAATGGACCTACATCTGTTTTTGCAGAGCATGCCATTCGACAACGATGCCTGCCGCAGCTTTCTGGAGCTGAGCGCAGACCAGCAGACCCAACTGATGCAAGAGGATTTCTCGATGTGTAGGAACCCCAGTGCCTACCTCATGTCTCGGGTGCGCAACCTCAAAGGCATGAAGGACAAAGTAACTACAGAGTCCTCAAAAGAGGAGAACGGCTGGTGGCCAAGCCCGCCACCCCAACCGCCAAGTGCACTGCCTCCACCTCCACCACCTGCACCGCCAGCACCACCGGTACCACCTGCGCCACCTGTACCTTCCGCAGGCAACGACGTCCTTGAAACCTTCCTACACCGTCATGGAATCGACGCAGGGGGTCGAGAAGCCTTGCGGCAACTCCCAGCCGAACTGCAGCTCGCTGTGCTTGCGCATGATCACGACATTGGCCAGGGGGGACGCAACCCGTCGCAGCATTTGGTCTCTTTGGTTGGGATGGCCTGGGCTGGGACTCTGAGGCCTCCGCAGGTAGATCCGCACGAAATTTTCCTGGATCGGCACGGCATCGACGAGTCTGCGCGACAAGCATTTTTCGAACTTCCGATACACCTCAGACAGATGGTGCTTGACGAAGGCCCGATCCTTCACTGCTGGAACCCATCTGCCGTCCTTGTGTCTCGGATTGGGCGCGCTCGGCTCAAAGGTGAGGGCAGCATGGACGGTGTGGGCAAGGCAGTTCTGTGGAAGAGCACATCCTTTGCAAAGCCACCTTCTACACCACCTCCGGCACATCTTCAACTCTCACTCCAGACCCCACCCCAGTCTGTAGAATGCTCCTCGTCTCTGCCTCCGGCTCCTGTGGCCTCTTCGATTCCCAGGGCCTTTGCCAAAGCCTCCGCTTGCTCTGCCGTTCAAAGCAACTCCCCAGAGCCGAAGCAGAAGAAACGTAAAGCCGAAGACGTCGACGAGGACGGGCAGCTAGATCTGGCAGTCGATCGGTCATGAAGCTTCCTTACGGGTTCTGGTTAGTAAGCCCAAAGGCGCCTTTGTTGCTGCTCACTGCTCGTGCTTTTTCAACCAAGGTCGAGGGCTTTTTGCGGCTCAATGGCATTGATGGGAAATCCTGTCGTGCCATGCGCCGGCTGCCACGGTCGGCGCAGCGAGCGCTGATCGGAATGGATCTACGGCGGCACGGCAATCCATCGGCTTTTCTCTGGATGCAGATTCAGAAGCTCCGAGATGAGAGTAGGGATGAGGGAAGGCCCCCGTCCCCCCAGCTTGTATCAGTTTTTGCCAAGCAACCGCCTCCACAGATCCCCCCTGTGCCCACCCCACCCCCACCACCCAAGCCGGTGTCCAAGCCTGGGTCGGCGCCACGAGGCAATGGCCCTGCGCACCCAGTGCACAGCCCGGAGCCCCCTCCTGGCCCAGGCCATAAGCACGGGTCAGTTGCGTTCGTGTTATTCCGCCACAGTGGTGGAGCCAGCGTCCCGGAATTCGTGGAAGTGTTCGACCATGCGCACGTCCTGACGTGCGGCAGAGCCTCGTCCTCAGACGTCCTACTGAAGGTTCAGCATGCCTCCAAGAAGCATGCTGAGTTTAGAGTCGAGCACGGGCCAAGCGGAGAAGCCTTGCTCATGTTTTGCGACTTCTCCTCGAATGGGACGTGGCTCAACGGCGACAGACTGCCTTCGAGTCGCTTAACACGGCTACTATCTGGCGACATCCTCTTCTTCATGCCGCCCGGGAGTAGCAACGACGTCCCCGCAATACAAGTCGAGCAGACCCAGAGCCAGGCCGGAGCTTTTTGCAATTTTTTGCTTCCGCGCATCCGCCTTTTTGGAGGGAGTCCGGCTCATGACAGGCCTTAGTCCTAAGGCGGCCTCCAAGCCACAAGCACAAATGTGGCTGAGGGCGCATGACTGCAGTGCCCAGGACCAGCCCCTGGCTCTCTGCAACGGGGATGAGCCTCCCAAAGAGCTGGGAGTGCAGGCGCCCAATGCGCCCAACCAAGCTGGATCGGCCCCTTGCACACACTGAGTGAAGTTTGGGTGGAAAGTCGCGGCTCCAGCCGACTGAGCCCAGGAAGTCTCCGATTGGATCCGGAGTGTTGGCAGCGGAGGACGGCTTTGCCGTCGGCTGGTCTCAGAGATCGAAAACTCCTACGATCACCTGCGACAGAGCCGCGTCATGCACTACGGGCATTTTCTGAACTCGGTCGGCCCTAAGATTGGAATCCTGGCAGTAGGCCGTAAGCATCAACCGGTGTCAGGCTGACACCCAATCGCACTGCCTCCTGATGTCAGGAAGCTCCGGTGCACTCTCCCTCTCCCTTGGCTGTGGGTAGCATACATGAGATGCTTGTCCCTCATCACTGGTGGTTAAACTCAGGATCATCGACAACTACAGCGCAAACATTGGTCACTCGGCCTTTCTTTCGTTGAGACGGCACGTGTGGGAAAAGCCCTTGGCCAATTGTCATTGTCATCGCTTTTATGCACCACACATACCCGATGCACTTTCATGCTCGGCTTGGATCATTTTCGCACGTGGCTGTGTGAGGTGACTTCCTCGACGTTCATTGCGTCGACGATCCTGAAGAAGGAGAAGTGCTCTCCGCCGCTTTACGGGCTCTGTGCTCGTTGGAAGAAAAGGATCTCGCATCTGTGCACGGCCCACTTGGGAAACCTGCGGTCAGCTTTTCGGTGCTAAAGTTGCCATGTACTCAGATCACCACTGCAGATCGGTCCCCACGAACATTCGGCCTAGTTGGGTCGGGATTGGGAGCTAGGGGCGACTTTGAAGCGTTTCTGGTCGTAGAAACACGTGTTTCGGGATCGGCTTTCTCGGCGTCTGGGTTCGGCAACAGCTGGCCATCCTCAATGGCCATGGCTGAGACTGAGCGCTTGTGGATGCATGGCTCCACGCATGCTTGCAGGCGGAAGGTGAGAGCACCTACTCCACCAAGGCAGCTTGGCTTGCGGGTGCAAGGTGTCCTTGGCTGTTGCAAGCACGTGCACCCCCTGCACTGCAAGGCAGAGGACGTGCTAAGCCATCCGGACCAGCTTCGACCTCGGATTGCGCGAGTTCACGGCATGGCACATGCAACAACTTCTGAGGTGGATGGACATGTACGAAAAGTGCTATCAGATGCGGCGAAGTGATCCTTTGCAGCACAATGTCTTGAAGAAAAGATAACGGTGATAAGGCGCATACGGACGCTTGAAACTTCCCGGGAAAATCTGAACTCGTCTTCCGAAAGACTCTTGCCAGCGATGTTGGTTCCAGAATCGACCCCGATTTTCCCCAGGGTCAATCCGAGGAGAATCTGGATTTAATGTTGGTCAGCATAAGTTGTCGTGCCCGAGAGAAGACAAGAAATTGAGAAACAAACGCAAGAAGCAGAGTGGACGGATAGAGTTGACGCGACTGCCGCGACTGCTGTCCATGCGTTGCAAGCGTCTGCGGCGGCTACACACCGCTGCGCTACTAGTTACCAGATTGGCTTGGCTTTCGCAGCTCTGCGCATGAAACCTGAGTTTCGAGCACCAGCTGGTGGGCGGACTTTGACGAGAAAATCCGTGAAATACGCAGAGCAAATTTGTGTCAGACTTTTCCGGAACCGAGAAACAGGAGTGTTTGGAGAGAGATGTTTCTTGACAGTGCATAAGATTCGGAGGCTCAAGCAAATGGTAGGATATTAATTCAGTTTTAGAGCGAACTCCAAGGGAAGCATCGGAGCATGAAAATTTGATGTCGCGTTTGGGTCTGCCATGCATGCCGGTCAAGTACCTACATACGAAAAATGAACGCGTACTGCGCCCAGGAGCTTCACTTCATCATCTCCAAGCTCCCGCGGTTCATCTTGGCGCAGGGCTTCTTCCTAGGCCTGCGGCCTCACTGCCCTAGACTCCCTGCAGTCTCTTACTCTCCGCTCCGTGGGCCAGGCGGCACCTCCGAAGGGGCCATGACCATTGCGAGATTTGATGATCAGCGAAGCTGGCCTTAATTTCTGGAAGACTTGTGTGCAGGGGGGTAAGTGGTACTGTTTGACAAACCCAATGGGGACCCAGACATGTGCCAAGACCTCCAGGCCCTGCTTTGGGAAGCGACCACGCGCTTGCCAACACGTGACGTCGAAGATTCAAACTCAAAGGTTCTTCACCGCCGGTGAATGATACCGCATGATGGTAGCACCAGCATGGCAGCCTTCACAACTCAGGGTGTCTGCTTATTGGCGAACAGGAAAAGTCCCTTTCACGGGGCGGAGAAAATGAAAGCCCGAAGAAAGTCACTGTATCCTCCTGGAAGGTGCACTGCTACCCCGCAGTCAGATGCCTTAATGAAATCATGTCAGTGGACGGGAGCTGTGCGATGAATCTCGTACTTAGACAAGGGGCGTAGGCGGCGCAGGGAGTAGGGCTGGTGGCTGGCGGTGGCATTGCCCCCTCGGATTTCAATTTGTCCAGCCACCGAAGTTTTCCAGCCTCATAACCAGCCCCTGGAACCCTGCCCGAGGCTACGGCAAATCCGTTTTGGGGCGGTTCATCAACTCTTTCAGTTCTGCGCTCAGTTTGGACAAATCTTGGCCGGGAGCTTCATGAAGCTTTGCCTTCCGACAGTCCGTGCCAAGGTGTGGAATACTGCTATTTCACTCCGCGGCCAGAGGATGGCCAGATTGGCGGTCAAAAAGATGTCCCGACGCTGAACATCATCGGGAGCAAGGCGACTGATTGGGGTGCCAGCTTCGTGTTGGGTAGATACTCGCGTCTGACAAAGCCGAAGTCGTTCCGCTCCAAAATGGATGTTCCAAAGCATGACGGATTGCTGTCGAGTCATACGGTTCGTAAGAGTATGCCTCGAAACGCACTAGTTTGAGAGCTTGCAGGTTTCATAGTGTAGGAAGATGGGGATTGGTAATGTCATGTGTATATGCGTCGAAATCAAGAGATGTTGATATGCCGAACGTCCGCCTCAGGATGAATATTTCGGAGCGGTCACGAACTCGGTTTCAAAAGGCGAGTGTGGAGGAAGTGCTTGAGTACTCACATACTTAGGGCGCAGCGTAGCACAAAACTTTTCAGTATCTATTTTTGAGAGTTAGAGTTGATTTGCTGAGGTGCAGAGTGTTGCAAAGATCGTGGTTGAGGATGGTATGGGCTATGGCGACAAGAACCTGACAGGGAACGCGTACAAAACGTTCGTGAGGCAGGACATGATGGCAGCCTGAAGCTCTCGGGTGTGAGCACTGATTAGCGAGCGAACGACTGCCCACCCGGATTGGAAGACTGGATGCTGGTGTTCAGGTGCAGTATTCCTGCACGGAAAGAAAGTATGCACGCCTCAACTTCGTGGGTAAAACGCTTGATTCCTAATCTGCACTGGCAGGCACTAGCAATGCGCCGCCGAAGCATTGAAACGTTTTCGTGAATTGCAATTTTGCTTGGCGTACGGATGCGTCATGACTCGGTGACCCAAACTTGCGTGGCCACTGACCCCTGCAGTACTTGTGCTAACTGTTTCTGCAGGCAAGGTCTTCACCACGCACTGGTATGTGTTTTGGAAGATGGAGCACGGACCTTGGCCTGTGGAAGTCATGAGGAGGCAACGGCAATGGAGCCGCTTGCGACTTCTAGTAGGAAACCGGTTACTGTTACAGTTTGAGGGATGTGGTGCACACCCCACTGAGGCCAAGTAAGATGGCACAAGTTCCTAGAGCTCGATAGAAGTCACAGGTGATCAAAGACAGAAGTCGCATATGGTCCATCATTGAATCAAACCTGTCCAATTTGCACAACCGCGTCAAGAGGACACCCAACGTCCAGCAAGAGTCGAGTCTCGAACCTATGTTCGTAGCGATCACCAGAAGAAGCATCCATCATCCCTCTCCAGTGCTCCTGCAAGTTGGCTTGCATTTTGCTTTTGTGATATGCTTCGCTAAGACCCACGGGCCATGCATCACGTGGCTAGCCTGCACTTTTGCTGTGTGCCGCATCGTTTTTGGACACGTGACCAGACATGCCGCAGCTGCGATGTACACTCATTTCACGATTTAACTGCGGAACCCCGGCTTTCCAGACCTAGGCATGACAACCAAATGCGCGAGATTTTCAACACCTTCTTCACTCGCCCGCACGACATCTGGCAGCTCGAGAGGTCCTTTCCTTCCGAGGTTTTAGGACATGTTGCGCATCCCTGAGCAGCGGCATGCCTGCAGTACCTCGATCACGCTCGCCAGATCCTATCGTCAACCGCCAGTAGACCGTACTAAAAGCTTACTGCCAAACGGTAAACGGCCGCAATCGAGCCTCAAGACTTGCTGCAGGGTTTGGGCCTGCGATCCGCCATTGGCTGGCAACCGAGAAACATCCTGCAGAGTCCGACATGTGACACGTGTCTGGAAATATGCAAATTTTGGGTTGCTCCGCTGAGGCTTCCATGATTCGCGTTTTGGCCCGCTCTGAGAAGACTTTGCGCGGAGAAGCCAACGGCGCAGATCACGTGTTACTCGACCAAGAACGATGCAGATCGGAGAGATCAAGCATGCAGTAGGATGTTTTATAATCTCAGACACGCAGACATTTCGGACAGCTTCAGTTATTCAGATCATTCATGATGTGTGCTCGGTTGGAGAAGACGCAATTAGAACACGCTGCGTTGTGTTCCTCGGGGCTGGTGTGTTCATGCTCTCGAAAGTTGACAGCCGCCTCATGATCTCTGATCTCTCAGTTGGTGCTGCGATCTATTGTTCTCAGGTCGAAGGTCACCAAAGTCTTTGTTCCGCTCAGCAAGATGCCGAGCAAGATGTCCTTGCGCGAAGTGTCACTCGACTGCAAGAGTCGCCCGGGCTCTCGACTGCGGCTCTCTGAGGAGAGCTCAGGACTCGTACTGTACCATCTTCAGTGACGGCGGTCAACCAATCTTGACAATTTGGCGACTGCTGTAGATGGTTGGGTTCCCCTCGGTTGCCTAGCGGTCACCTCTGCTTCTACTCATGCCGGCAAGCTTGTGAGGCAGGCGTTGCGGGAGATTTCACCCTCAAGCCAGGCCTGAGACCAGAGCTGCTGTTGTCATGTGCAGCAACTATCCGGATTGGGTATACTGCCCAGAGCTGTTGACCCTTGAGTTCACGATCTAACCGATGCAATCTCTTCGGATTGCACGACACTCTGTTCTCAGGCATTCCAGGCCAAGGTGCAGACCGTCATGGCAGAGCAGACACTTGACAGAAGTCTTGCTTCCGTCTGCAAGATTTTTCGTTAGAGCTCCAAGCGGCCTAGCCTTCGATGCGCCGCGTTCCGCGAGATTGTTTGTGTGGCTCAGGAAATTGCTGATGGAGCAGGAATCCGAGGAGGCGTCCGACTGTCATCTTGAGTGATCCGATCTAAACTCAACAAAATGAGAAGTCTCAAGGCGAGACTACTTCCGTGTGGCAAGTGTCAGTCTAATGGGTTGTGGCGAAAGAACACGCCGGCATGTCTGCCCAGAGCATGTGCATGTGTTACACAGCCGAAACTCTTGGCCCGTGGCCATGTGCTGTTGCGGATGGTTGCCAGTGCATGTCTAGAGTGGGGTCTAGATGTTGGAGCAGTTGCCCACAAGCGAATTCGAGTATGTGTGTGCGTTGTCTGTACCTGGTCGCCTTCCCGCCCCCGTTCTCTCAATGTGCGTCTCTTTCTGAGGCAGAGAACATGCTTCGAAAGCTGCGGAAGAAGGGATTCGGTGCCAGCTCGCGCTCGCAAACCGAGAACTTCTATTCACAGGCGCTTGCTTTGTCTGCAGCGTGCAACAGCGTGCAACGGCGTGCACGCTCTGCTGAGGAGGACAACGAAAAGACTGCCAAGAAGGCCACATTTGCGCAGACCAGAGCAGAGGTTTTAAAGTATTATGTTCGTTCGGAGACAGATGAGAGCAAACGACCTGCGACTGCAATGTCCTGTAAAAGCAGAAAGGAATGTGCTGCAGCCATGGTGACAGGAGATCCTGTACAACAAGATCTGAGACAGTCTAGGGGCACTTTTTTCGGGAGTGCCGAAATGCTTCAGCCAATGTCGACACGATAGCTGGTGGACGAGGCTGTTTTAACGTCAAGCATTTGGCATTGCCAGGGGCTGAAAGCTATTGTATCGTAGCTCGAATGGATAGCTCTGACTTTGTTTTTGATAGTTTTCGCACAAACCTGTGACATGCAGAGACGGCGAAAGCCGCTTGAGCTGCGCATCCTTTGCGATAGCTCGTACGTTTTTGTGCTTTAGCACAGGTTGCCGGCTTGTCCAAAATGTGGCAACCCGGTGCCAGTGATGCTCTGAGACGACTCATCGTTGCCTCAACATCACGGCAGGCCTGTCAGGCCATCCGTGGCGGTGGCTGCTAATGTTCAAATGCTTGGCTGGCAACCAGCCAAGATTTGACCGCCAAGGTCTGGCATACGTCAGTGCTTCCGACGGAAGAGCGCGCAAACCTTTCAGATTTGTCGACATTCCTTGCTCCGTGTTCGTGTGATCAACTCGCCTCATTGTGCATGCCGGAGCCAGCAAGCCTTAGTACTGGAGCCAGGCAGCCACACGCACAAGATAGGGCAAGCAGCTGAACAACGAGCAGAGGGCGGTGACTAAACCTAGGTGTGTTATTGGACTCTCGGATTGTAGATGCTTCATGACGGCGTCGGCCATGAAAGTCAAGAGGGAGCCACGCCGGCTGACGAGGAGCCGAGACATTTGGCTGTCACACGATGGAAGCATATGGAAAGTCTAATGACGCGAAAGCCTAGTTTTCCGGCAAGTCGGACAATTCCTACAGAGGTCGAAGCAGCCTGTACGACTGCTCACCAGGAGTGCTGTCAACGAGCGGCCACACAGCGCTTTCAGACTCCAAGAGCAGCGAAGTGCTGGGAGATGTCTCCTGGCCCGAAGCTCTGCTTCGGTCTCCTCTAGAGATTGATGTTCTGCCCTACTTCGCAGCTTAGGGTTTTAGAGTCTTGATGGAGCTGTGGCTGGAGCCGTCGTTCGAGGAGCTCTGGTGTAGCTTCCCGTACTAAAACCTATGTTAAAGATCCCCTCACCTGTCCGCCCTGTCCTGCCATCGTTGCCTGAGATGCAAACTCAGGTACTGCGCATTTCTTGCCAATCCTGGAGTGAAGTGTCCAAGTTTCCTGGCTCATCTTGTTCTTGCGTGCTGTGCCTGCGGCCAGCATTCTGAAATCTTGGTTGTCTCGAAATCTGACATACTTGGACATGTTTCGAAGCAGATGGTCTAGGACGTTTGCCGGAAGCATGCGGCAAACGCGGTGAGGGTGCTCTGCCGATCCATGCTGGGTAAGGATGCTGGCGTGTTACCACATACTGCTGTTGCGCGGCTATGCCTTCGCTGAGCCGTGTCAGCAATCCGCCGGGCACACACTTCCTAAGTAGCACAAGCTTGTTGCCAGAGGAAGCTTCGCCCCCATGTGATCGTGCTCTTCCACCACGAGGCTGTAAAACGTGGAAGAGTGGCTCTTGAGTGTTCCGTGTTGGAAGCAAACAGGAGCTTGGGCAGCACTCCGCCACCAACACGGCGGTACTGCTTCTGCTCCTTGGAGCAGATCTGTTCTGCTGCGGCCATCCCGAGCACGATGAGCGCTTGCAGGCACTGCTGAGGCGCTTCCAGCACCTGGCCACCTGGCCGCTACTTTTTCCCTCTCCCTCTCCGGACTCTTCGAGCAAAGCTCCATGCCCCCGCTTAAGTAATGCATTCTGGGGTGGATACCGCACTATCACACATGGCCATGCAAACCCTTTGGATCATGCAGGCATGCCACGGTGGTGTCGCTTGTTCCGCACACACCGCCTGTACAGGTAGCAGAACACAGTGGACATCACAAATCACAGTCTGTGCGTGCAGTTTCCGGCAGAGATTGCGCGGGGTGCACCGGCGTCTAAATGCGCTTGCGGCACGCGCGGGTGCGCGAACTCCGTGGGTCCCCGACTGAATACATTATTTCGTCCTGGAGTTCCTCAGCAACAATGTATCCAGCCAGGGGCCTGCGACACTTAGACGCAGACGAAGTCATAAAGCTCCCTTGCAGGGAAGATGTGGCTGGCACCGCTGTCCTTTTCCCATCGGCAGATGCATTGCCGGCGGCTGCTCTGGCTGAAGCGGCGCCCCTCCAAGTCTGCGATGTTGGCGTAGTTGGCTTTGTGAGCAGGTTTGAGACACATGATTCAGTCCTGGATTGTCCATTCACGAGGGCTCGCCTCACATATTCTGGGACCCAAGCGACGGTGGCCGTAGGCACAGCCTCCCCGGAGGATCGTAATTCTGGATGGAGGCCATCCGCAATGGTCAATTCATCTTTGGCCGGGGAAGCTTCTGGGTTCATGACACAGGCGTATCGGGTCTTATGCTGAAGACAGGCTGGGCTCAATGCAAGAAGATGAACCAGTGGCTCGACCCGGCGCTCCCGAGGCAGTGATTGCATGCGACATGTCGCTCATGCGATGCTGCATAGGTCACCTTCAAGCTCAGTGGCTTACGAGCTGCCTTGAGAGGTGTGTCGTCGAAACTGCCACGCGAGAAGAGCTTCGCTGCTGAGAGCGGAAGAGAGTTGCAGTTCCATCTGCCTCGTGTCCGTGAGTCGCGGCGGCGAGTCGCGGCCACGAGGTTCGGCGCCACCCGGCGCTACCGTGGGGCCCAGAGCGGTCGCGTCCAGACGGCCTCGGCCTTCGCGGCCCTTTGCCGGGAGCTCCGCGAGGAACCGCAAGCCGCCCGCCAGTCCGGTCCGGTCCTTGTCGTCCTTGTCGTCCTTGTCATGTTCTCCTCACGCTTTCAGAGCCCTCAGCGAGAGGACCCGCAGGATGTCCAAGCGGTGGCGCGGCTGGGACTTGTCAAGCCTGCTTTTAGTCTTGCATTCACTTCCTAAATCTCTGCAGTCAATGTGCAGCTTTCTTTGCGCACATAGTCTTGGCAGAGGACATGGCGACATGGTTTCACTCTCTTGCATCATGACGTAAACCGTCGCATGTCACCTTTCGCTCAGGCAGGGACTTTCCGCTTTCATGAGCAGTTTCGAGGCCCAAATGGGCCCATCAGGCCGTCTCACTGTGTTAGAGCAGAGGGAAGCTGGTCGGCAACACTTGTCGGAAAATCGGATTCTGCCCATGCTGCGACAGTATTGCAGGGATGCAACATGTCTCAAGACCGAAACGGGATCAATGGCATTTCCCCAGTAGCGGCCATCAAGCATCTGCAGTGCAAAAGCACAAGTCGACTTTGTCGAACAGTCTGACACTTGAGTTCTTGAGTTGATATTGGCTTGGCAGCAGGCTTGCGGCTAGGGCTGGTCGCACCCATGCAGCTCGAACCATAAACACCCCACACATCTCACAGTCTCACAGGAGGTTGACGAGGGATCATGTTTGACTCAGGCTGGAGGTGTGGCTCTCCTGCCTGTGCGATATGATGAAGAGAAGGACATGCTCTGAGCTTGAGGGTTAAGGGGAGACTACTTAGTTCGCATTTCTCACATGAGCTTCCAAAATCTGTGAGGAAGGCTCGCAATTGCCGGATCCGGTCTCCGTTGGCGTGGCGATCTTCTCACTAGCGCAGCTTGGATTGTTGGCTCTGGGAACGACGGAGCAAGACCTGCCGATTAATCGTAGCAGCATCCTGGGACTGTGGCCCCAGATTACTGGGCACCCTCTGCACCCCATACCTATGCAAAGCCTCTGCGGGGGAGACATGAATCGTGCTTCTGTTGAAATGGATGGAATCTGGCTCCTACCCGCAATGCTGCAGTTCGCTGGAATTTCTACATAGAGAAGCCATTCGAAGCCTCCACAAGCGAGCCTCTGGGTGGTCGCAGCCACTAGTCCTTCTAGCTGCCGGATCTTCAGTGAAGCTGTGATGAGACTGCAATGGTCAGGCAGCCGCTGTCGTTTCTGTCCATGGTGCCCATCCCGGAGTCAGTGACATGCAGCGACAGCAATGATGCATGTTGAGTTGGACGTGGCTCCGTCCACCGTCTCGTGTTCATTCTCCGTAGCATGTGGTCGCCTTTGGCTTTCCAGGTCTTCTACTGGACTGTCGAGAAGCCCATATGGGCGATCCAGTCGGAGGCTGTCAGCATTCAGTGAGGGAGTGCGCTTGTTGAGCGCTAGGGCCGCTAGGAATTGGATGCCAGGATCTCCCGGACTACCTGGGCTTCTTCGTGCACTGCATTAGCTGGCTTTTGACGCTCATTAGCCTTTTCTGTAGCGTCTCGGCATGAGAATGTATTGGTCGCCTCCCTGCCCCTCTCCCTCCCTCTCTCAGAATCCGTATAATCCATATTTAAACCTGCTGTGGCAGTTGGAACAGGCCGCATCCCATTCTCCTGTCAACATGGCGGGTGGGTGCTGATGTTTGGGGTCGCCTACTTGGCTTACACCTCAGTGAACCTTTAAGCATGCTGGCAGCACCCCATGACCATGCTGGCAAGGTCTTTTCCTTCATGCATTACTGCTTGAAGATCGGATTGTGCTCCGCTCAGCTGTAGCAAGCATACTCGAAGAGAGCCATGATGAGTCAATCGCACTACTGTTGTGGCAAGAACTTGCGAGACTAGTGAACCTCTCTTCCAGGGATACGTTTGTCCGTCTGCGTGCGTAGCCCCGGCAGCACCCAGTCTGCAAGCTCTACGCAGGCATGGTGCAGCAGACATAGCTCAAGCTGGTTAACTGCCCTTCTCTTCCATCTTTGATTTCGGACTCTACCCTGAGAAACTCTCATCCGACACAGCAGACCGGATGGCTCGACTGATCAGGCCACACGGGTGCACAGGCTACGTCCAGCCAGAATGCCCTATCTACGAGGCCGATGGCCGGCCTGAGAAGATTGAGGACTTCGGGTTGTCCTCACGTGGGTGGCAGGTCCTGGACTGGCACAAGCCCGAGGCACAAGAGATTGCTCACTTGTCACATAACGACCAGACCTGTCCTGGAAGCAGGATGTCGCGACAGTCTCCTTCTTGACACTTGGGGCTGCGGCCCAAGTGGGACAGCACAAAGCTGAGGCACGAGTACAGCTCGATCACCGGCCGCTGCTTTCACCACATGCCAGCTGTTGCACTCGAGCGCCCTGTGTGTCGAGCTAAACGCTTAGGGTCAGACAATGTCGACGGACGCTCTTGCAGTTGTGCAAGTTGTATTGCTTTGATCTTGGTACATACCAGTGCAGTATACATGCATGCATGCATGCATGCATGCATGCATGCATGCATGCATGGTCTCTGCGAAGCTATCGCATCCGTTCCTTATGCATGTTTCCTCCACCTGAGGTGTGCAGGGCTTGAGCCCGTGACACGAAGTGATCGTCAAGTGGAAAGTTTGTGTGTCGAGGGAGATGTGCTCGCGTTTCGACCGAGACAGATTCGCAGCTTTTTATCTTTGACCTGTGTCGTCTACTGGGAAGAGTCTCGAAAGTCATTGACAGCGTATCTGCCGGATCAGCAGTTTCCCACCCCCCCCCCGATCGCTTCAGGGCCGCGGTGCCACGACCACGGTCTTAAGTCCTTGAGTTGCCAATTCGTTTGTATGTGCCGCTTGCTGGTTGCGTGGGTATATGTTATGTGGGCAGGAGAGAGAGATGGAGAGAGAGAGAGAGAGAGGCAACTCCCCACCACAGCCCTGGCGAAAGAGAGAGAGAGAGCTCAGCTTTTAGCGGATTTTGGCTTCCCACAGTACGGCACCGCGGGCAACCCCATCCAAAACGGGAGACTTGGCGTGCAGACCCAGGCCACCACCTAACGACCCTATGGCCCTAGCTTTCGGGAACCTTTTCGAGATCCTCACGTTCGATCTTGAATCGACCACGCAGCCTGCGCCATGTACATGAACTGGTGTTCAAGTGAAAAAACTTTCGCCGTCTTTGCTTTCGTCCGAGTCTTGATCACGTAGGTCAGCTCCGCCTCGTTGAAGCTAGGTGATCACCAGCCACCCGTGCCTCTAAACCGACGCTCGGACCAGGGCGGCACTCTCCAACTTTGAGTGCAACCGCAACGGATCCGCTGACGAATCCGTTATCCGTTCCAGCGAGCCAAAAACCGATAAACTGGCTCGAATGATGCTGATGTGGTTGATCCTGTTACATTCAGCTGCCCCGATCGGCGGGCGAGTGATCGGACGAATGAAGAAGCACATGGTGGAACTGTTTAAAGACTCGAGACAGCTCGGCTTATCCCCTGTTGCGGTCGAAGCAAAACAGTGTGCGACTGCACGGTTGTGCTCGGAGTGTTCGTACGGTATCGTTCGGTAGGGATTACCGTTTACATACACATATATATATATACACATAAGAAATAGTCAACAAAACCTAATAAGCAAATACATGCTATATACATACATGCATACATTCATACATATATATACATATATATATATATATACATATATATATATATACATATATATATATATACGCATATGTATGTGTATATATATATATATACACACATGTGTGTATATCAGTCAAGCAATCTCTCTCTCTCTCTCTGTGTTTACAACTGTTCCAAGGCTTTTGCACTCTTCTGCAATGCTAATGGGTCGTTTTTGCGCTTGCCTTCCCCTGCTGGGCTCTGCCTTGTGTAGAGTATGCGCATGTTCAGTTGGGACACAGGAGAGACGTCAGATAATGCATGAACGTCGTTGCCAAATAGCCAAGATCGCCAAGCACCACTGAAATTCCCAGACCCAGCAGGCCCAACACTTTGGTGGAAAGGTTAGAAGCCCCTGGCAAAGCTGTTGGTCGGCACACCAGGCTTCAGTTGAGGAATGATGCTTGGGTGAGTATCGAACTTGTGGGCAATCGGCATGGTTGACTTGCAGACGCTTGTTATCTGTTTGTGCCCAGTGGATTTTTGTTCTGTTGCACCTAGGTCGCTTTTCCCACGGCCATCATTCTGTACTCCTGGATGGTGCATCTGCGGGACAAACATCGTGCATGAGATTGCCCAGCTAGCAAATGCGACCTCTGCCCGAAGATGCTCTCTACGCAGGATTCCTGCGACGGCAAAGCCGACCTCAGGGAGATGGACGACATCATCAGGATCCGGTTTGGGCGAAGGTTCATTTGACCGTGGAACGCGTTCTCAATGTGGTCATGCACACACAGCAGTGGATTGCATTCCACACTGTTCCCGGTGATTCAATGAGCATGCTGAGCGCAGGAGGCAGATGGAAGCCTTGCAGGCGGCATGGTGCAGTGCTGTTTCTCTTCATGTAGTCTTGCTGGTTTTCAGAGCCGGTTACTGGAAGCCGCAGCGACAGCGAGACGAGCAACAATGCTGTTGCCACGAACGCCAGTGGCCAGGGAAGAGTAACGGCAACGACGGCAACAGCATCAACAACAACCAGAACCGGAATCACGACCACGGCGACGGCCACAGCAGTGCAACAGCAACAAGCACCAAACAACAAGCAGCAACCAACAACCAGCGACCGGCCACGGGCAACCGGCAACCAACAACCAACAATCAACAAGCAACAACCAACGACCAGCAAAACCAACAAGAACCAAGAACCAACCAACGGCTAGCAGCTAACAGCCAACCCTGCCGCCACCACCAACACCAACAACGACAACACCAACAACGACCACAACAACAGCAACAACAAGCAACAAGCAACACGCAACAACCAACAAGCAACACGCAACACGCAACAATGACCAAGCAACAAGCAACACGCAACAAGCAACACGCAACACACAACAACAACATGCAACAAAAGCCAGCAACAGTCACCGACAAATATCAAGAACCAGCAAGAAACGACAACAAACCACCCCAACCAACAGTCAAGAAACAACAAATATCAACAAGCAACAACGAAAAACAACCACAACAACAGCAACCACATCAACAACATCAACAACAGCAACAGCAACAACAACAGCAGCCACAACCACAGAACCAGCAGCAGCAGCAGCAACAGCAACAGCAGCAATAGCAACAGCAACAACAGCAACAACAGCAACAACAGCAGCAGCAGCAACAGCAGCAACAGCAACAGCAACGACACATGACCACCAGCAGCAACGGCAACGGCAGCAGCACCACCACCAGCAGCACTACCACCAGCAGCGCCAGCAGTATCAGTAGCACCAGCAGCACCGGCACCAACCTAGAGCAATCACCAGCAGCACCAGAACAATCACCCTCAACACAAGCCAGTGCAGCAGAAGAGTATCAAAAAGCCCTTAGCAGCAACAAGAAGAGACATGCAAACGACGTGAGCAACGATGAACAGCAAGAGTAGTGACGGTGCCATCGCCGGCGCTGGCAGCAGCAGCATTGCCACAACCTGCACCACCACGACAACGGTGACAACCGCAAGCACATCTGCTGCAGCAGTGCAGTTGTTGCTCGACGAGTGATTCCTGCTCCCTGCTGTGACAGCGACGGCGAGCTGCAGATGCAGCCGCTTCTCGATTGTGCAGCAGTGCCGGCAAATCCCCATCATTCGATTGTCAAGCCAATGGTGAGCACTGTAGATATCACATTTTTTAGTCTCGCATGAGACACTGCAAGAAAAGTCGCTAACCTGTTTGTAGGAGCCGTCGGGAACATGTTTTGGCATTGGTGCTTCTGTGGTCTTGTTGCATATGTTGGGCTCTTCCCTCAGAGCAAGTCTTGTGGAGACTGTTTGCTGTCTTCGTGATACCAGTATCCTTCAAGCATGTCACTGCTGCATCCATGCTAAGCAACCTCGGAAGCCGCTGCAATCTCTGCTGGGAGGCTCGGGAACGTGAGCTTCTCAAGGCAGCCATTGAGGAGGAGGAGCAAGGTTGGCTGCAGTGCATCTCAAGATAGACCACACATAGGAGTTGACGAGCTGCAGCTTTGGCCCGACAAGCTCGTGGGCTATTGGAAGTTCGCTTTGTCAGCCTGGAGGTTGTTGCTTCTGCCGCTGCCGGTAATTCGATGCATGCGCAGCCCAAATAACGCAAGTTGAAAGCAGCAGGTCGACGTGTTGAGTCTAGGTATTTGAGTAAAAAACGTATGCACAACACACACACGTACATACATGCATACCTACGGATGCATGTCCACACACACTTTTGTATATATATATATACGCACATATATACACACGTATGTAAACATATATATATATATGTATTTACATGTATATGCAACCCCCTTCAAGGATCAACTGTTCTCGTGTGTTGCAGAGCCAGAGGCAGCAAGCAGACAACATGGTCTATCTTCTCATTATAAGAAGTGCTGAGAATACAAAAGCTTGGACATACGTGATTACAATATTATTCTAGTAGAATTAAAGAAGGAGACAACTAGCAGGTGGAAAAATAGGAGGGAAGAGAAATAAACGCACGCTCTTTTACTTGCTTTATTTTGATTTTACTATTATATAAAAGAACAGAATAGATGATGGCAAAGAGGAGCAAATTCTTTCAAAGACTATACGAATATTATAAATAGTTTACTTTATAATAAGTCATCTTATTATCTATATTTATACGATTATTTTATCTGTGATTTTTATTTCAAATTTCTATTATTTGAATATATTCTCTTCTATATAAAGCTCTAACATAGATTTTAATTTTATATTATTTAAAAGATAATATTATAAGAGATTACGCTTAATTATAAATTTGTTTTGAAATATGAAAAAATAATGAAGAACTTTATAATTAAATAATGAATAATTAACAAAGAATATTATTTTTATAAGAAACGAATTATAGAAATAATAGAATATATAGATGCTTTATAGTGAAAAATATATTAGAAATATATTATTAGATATGTTAATTGCGTATGATAAGAGTCAATATACTAAAGATGAAAAAAATGAATTTAATTTAAGATCTAATATCGAAATTTTTCTGTATGAAATTTTTAAATATGATTTCGGGATCTCGAAAAGAGTGGGTCGATTTCTATAAAAATCTTTAAAAAACTTAGATTTCGTTTCTTGATTTATTTGATTTGATTCTCTTTTGTTTTATTCTATGATTTCGAAAAATATTTGATATTATCTATATTATACTATATTGAATATAGATGATATATCTTATATAGAAGATATTCTAGCATGCGGCACTTAGAAGATAGATATATTTATCGTATTATGGCATGGGCCGACTAGAAATAGCAGGTACGTATCGGAATGTGGAAATGTAGGTTGTGGGCGAGAGCGTGGGGATCGTGGTCGCGGAGTGAGGACGGAAGGCATATCGAAATATATCATGGGCGTGTAAATGAAGGCAGTGGCAGGTGAGAGCGTGGGTTTGGAGGGGAATGTCGTGAAATGATGGGTGAATATATGAAAAATATGTTGGGTGTCGTGGAGTGGCAGGCGAGGGTCGAGGGGAATTTCGCGATATGATGAGCGGGAGTGTGTGTGTCGTGGCTATGGAGTGGTGGGTGAGAGAGGGTCGGAGGGGAATATCGTAGAATGGGGTGGGGGTATGTCTGGTGAAAGTGCCGTGCGAGTTTGAGAGGATGATCGTGGAAAGGTGGGCGTATCATTGGGGCGGGAGGGAAAGATAAGATGAGTATTGTGGAATGATAGGTTCGGGGATTCATATTATAGAATATGGGGGAAGGTTTGGGGCGGGCAAGGATTTTGGAACTCGGGGGAGTCGTGGAATGGTAGGAGATGGCGAGGGTCGCAGAATGGTAGGTGAGGGCGTATTTATTAGAGGGAAGTAGTGCGGGCGAGGGCGGCCGGAATCAGATAATTCGAAAGAAATTTTATAAAATATTTAGAATTCTAGCGAATTTCTGTTGCCTTATATGCCTCTATGATATGGAGGGTATGCCGGTATGGTAGAATTGTGATGTGAGGGCAGAAATATCTTTTTGTCAATATCGTGGAATAGTGGGTGGGGTAGTCTCGTGGAGTGCGGAATATTAGGGATCATAAAAGTGAAAGGGGAGTGTCGTGGGGCGGGCGAGAATAAATTAGATTATGAGGCGATGGGAGAAAATGAAATGAGATAAATGATATAAATGATATAGAATTATGATGAAATGAATATAAATATATTGAGAAGATGAAGGGATTATCTAAGGGATGGGATATTAGATAAAGATTATTAAAATATTAGGAAATATCATATTGGAAAATATTATTTGGAGATTCTGAAAATAGAAAAAGATTAAAATAGAGATAATTATATTTAAAATTAGGATTTAGATATATTATTTTCGATATGTTAATATATAGATAATTGAATATTTAATTTAGATTCATTTTTTATATAAGATTCTTGATTTATAATGATTTATTATATTCTAATATATATATATGATCGAATTAATAAAAGAAGATATTATTTTAAAAAAAGAATATTAATTATATATTTAGATATATAAGAAAAATTCTAAAATTATTATTATTACTAAATTTTTATATATAGAAATCTTCTCTATAATTGA